GAACAGACAAGTTGCTGTCCTTTTGTTCTTCAGTCTAGTTGTGGAGGACGTTGCTTCACTGGCCCAAGTTGGCACCATCATTGCGTTCTTCCCGGGCGAGGCAGATCAGTCGCCAGCTTCTGGACAGCTGCTCACAGAGGCTGCTGGCTACATACGGTAGCCCATGGCAGCCCACTGCCACAGGGGCTGCAGCCTACGCCGTTGCAGACGACTCACGGCAGCCCAGCTCCAGATTGAGCTGTTGTTCAGCATCTTAGCTGTACAGGGCAGTGTCACTGGCCTTCATATGTGGGATCCGAACCGGGGCCCTCTGATGTCCAAAACCAGCTCTTAACCAACGTGTCACTTGGCCAGCCCAAAACAAACTAACTCTTGACTGAGGACATTTTCTGCTCTCTTCCCAGCCTGCCTGTGTTAACTTGGGGACAATGTGGGCCTGGGCACTGTGGATACTTCCTCTGCTTTGCAAATTCTCCCTGGCAGGTAGGTTGGCCTGTGCCATTTTATGGATTATGTGATTCTTATTGCCTTCTTTGTATAAGAATTGTTAACTTGAGAGCAAAGGGGCATCTGGGCCACGGGCACATGTGGATGGGCAACAGAATTTGTGAACTCCCTGAATTTGTGTGAGTGGGTGTGTGCATGGTGATGTATGTATAATTATGCATGTGCAAATTTGGCAAGATGGCCTACCATATTATCACAGGGAGATATGACCCCCTTGCCCCCTGCAAATAGGTCTATATCCACTGTTTTTGAGTAGTGGTAAGTGCTTATTTCAATAGTTTTTGTGTTAAATGCAATTGTTTCATATAGATCACACACATAAAAACAAAAATATATAAAATATATAATTTTCACACTATTTACAATAAATTTCAAGGATATAAAGGGAAATGATGAAACAACATATTTTTGCAGCGGTCCAACTCAAAACTATGGACCTAATATCCATACAGTACCTTGCAGCTCTAAGAACATTAGTTTCATCACATGTTATGTTTCAAAAAAAAAAATTAAGACCAGTGGAGAAAAAGTGGAGATTGGCACTGGAAGGTAGAAAGGTGTCATAGTGTACTAGTTTGCTAGGGCTACCATAACAATGACAGACTGGGTGGCTTAAACAACAAATTTATTTTCTCATAGTTCTGGAGGGTAGAAGTCCAAGATCAAGGTGCCTTCCTGTAGGGTTGATTTCCTCTGACATCTCTTTCCTTAGCTCACAGAAGGCTTCCCTCTTGCTGTGTCTTCGTATGGTCATCCCTCTGTGTGTCCTAATCTCCTTTTTTTATAAGGACAGCAATCAGATGGGATTAGGGTTCGCCCTAACAGCTTCATTTTAACTAATACCTCGTAAAGGCTCTATCTCCAAATACAGTCACCTTCTGAGGTACTGGGGGTTATGGCTTCAACATATGAATTTGACACAATTCAGTCCATAACATGTAGTAATTGGGGATCATCAAGAGAGTGTTTGCGACCCACAGATAATGAGAATGCTTTCTAGACCTCTGTCCTGGCATGACCTGCCTTGTAGTCCTCTAGGGTAATATTTATGGCACGCAGGAGCTTTATAGATAATACAGGCAGGTAGGCCTGTATCTCCCTGTCTCACTTAGCCTCTCCTCGCCAGCTCAGAAATCAACATTTACCCCCCATTTATCCCATTTAAAGTTCTAATTATGTGCATTGTGGCTTCTATGAACTCACCCTTTCCCTCAACTTGTCTCTTTCTATCTTCTATCTCTGTCTTCTTCTCTTCATATCACATTTTACTTAAGCCATCTTCTATATAACTGGCTCCAGTTTCACCCAATTTCCCTTCTAGAATATCTTTGCCTTGTCCTCTGCTCAGCCTTGCCCTTCTTCTATTTCAGGACATTTTTCAAGACACTAATTTTGTAACAATACCAAAGTGATATGAGCAGAGAGCGGAAAAAGGAAAATTGAGAATATTTTTTTAATTTTTGAAAAATGTTCCTCTTCCACATGGGAAATTCTCTGATAAACAAGAACATTCTCTCAATTTTTATTAGAGAAAAGTTAATGAATATTTTCCCTTATTTCTAGAAATATGGTAAATAGTTATTTTTAGAAATGTAGGAATATAGTTATGGATTTTTTTTAAGATGTGGGGGAAGGATAGATGTGTGCAAGTGATAAATCTAGCCTTCATTTATCCATTTTTAAAAAATAAAAATTCTGTTTTTGAATAATTTTAGATTTACAGAAAAATTGTGAAGATAGTACAGAGAGTTCTTGTATACTCCTCATCCACACTTCCCCAGTGTTAATATCTTATAAAACAATAGTATATTTGCTAAAATTAAGAAACTGATATTGATTGACTAAATCCCAGATTTCATTTGGATTTCACTAGATTTTCCCATTAATGTTCTCTTTCTGTTCAGGATACTGTATTGCATTGAATTTTATTTCCCTAGTCTCCTATGGTCTGTGGCAGTTCCTTAGTTTTTCCTTGTTTCTCATGACCTTGACAGTCTTGAGGAGTACTTGCCCATTCTCCTGGGTTTTTGTAAATAATATAACAGAGGTAAAGTGCCCTTTATTGCTCTATCACAATTTTACACGTTTGCAATAGTCTTCTGATATAGAGTTCATATTCTAATTACAGATAAGTCTAATGAGACTTACAATAGACACATTGGTTGCCAACAAGTAGAAAGGGAAATAGATGTATAAGCTCTGCCCGCCATGGCAGTTCTATGGCATAAAGTAAAGGCAGTTCAGACATGTGGAAGAGTACCAGATAACAGGCTGGAAATGGTAATTGTAAGTAAGGCAAGAAAGTAAAAGAGAAGCCTAATATAGTTTGTTGATTTGGTTCCTTCTTATTTCAGTTCCCCCAGCTCCATAATTTGTGATAAAAACAAATGTAAAATGGTCTGAGATATAGATGCAGAATTAGAATGTCACGAGGACACATGAGAAGAAGAGGGGAAACTATTGTTGAAATTATTTCCTTCCCCAAGTCTTAGTATCCAGGATTTTCAGAACAGGCTATCTGTTTCTTATATTAATTAGGGAAAATTATTTATCTTGCAAAAATAAACAAGCCCCACATCTTAGTATTTAAAACAACAAACTCTTCATGTCCATCACAGGTATGAGGGACCTAGGCTGATGGAGGCTCTACCATCCTAAGACACCACTATCTCAACATGAAGTTTTAGGGTATGCAGTGGCAGAGGGAGGAGAGAAAGGACAACCATGAACTAGCACTTAAATGCTCCCCTCGCATCAATGGCCAGAGCAAGTCACACGGTCATGCCTAATTTCCAGGGGGCAAGGAAATGAAACCTTCCTATATGTCCAGGAAGGGGAGACGTTGAAGAACACTAGAAATATTGTTGAACATTCATTTTATCTAGCACAGAGCTCTTCTGTAATACCAGGGTAGGGGATCAGAGTATGCCACTTTGACAAAAGGATAATTTTGATCTGGAGGCAAATGAGAATCAATAGATGCAGAAATCCAGTCTTCCTGGAGCTTCCTTTGTTTGACTAAAAGCAGAATCTTCTGAAAGGCGAGGACTACCACAAAGCTCTCCTGAGAAAGTTTTATGGCCATGAAAAAGATGGAAAGTTGGTGCCAAGATGGACCTGCACACACAAACCTTACTCCATCACTTTTCCACATATGTTTACCTTCCCATAGTTTGCCACCTTCAAAAGCCTAAGTTCCTTTTCCTGTCTTATCACTTCTCTACAAATTTATTGTATGTGTTAAAAGATGCTATATAAGCCCATGTTCTAACCACCTTTTTGAGTTACTTCTCACTGAGGTTTGTGCTGTGTGATATACACTGCATGCATTAACCAGCTGTTTTTCCCCTGGTAATCTGTCTTTTATCTAATTATATAAGGCCCCCACTGGAGAACCTATGAGGGCAGAAGGAATGGGAATTTTTTCCTGTCCTATACCAATATCAAGTGGCTGCTGTTAGCATATTGCTCTCTTGACATATGTTAAGCAGTAAGGGAAAGACATGTAGCTCGATAAGAAAGCTCACGTGACATGGAAAATCATTTTTAAAACCACTTCTTCTTCTTCTTCTTCTTCTTCTTCTTCTTCTTCTTCTTCTTCTTCTGATACTTGGTGATACTTATGGTTCTGGGAACCAGATGATTGACTTCCTTTCTGGCTTATAGCTTTTTATATGTTAATCAAAGCTTCTAAAGGAGTAAAGGAGAGGTATTCAAGAACAGAAAAGTAAAGGCACTGAGGTTTGACAGGGGTATATTTGGGTCCAAGAGGATCTACACCTACAATGGTTTTTGGTAGCTGGCTTTGGATTCAGCCAGTGCCAGGCAGAGTGGGAATGAAAAGGAAGTAAAGTAAAATATGACTGTAGGAGACCATAATGAGAATAGTGTAAGACCAAAGCATATTCTGGGGAGACAGGGAAAGGCCTCTTGTTTTTTGGTTCTCCAGCAAAGGATCTACTTTGAAATCCTGCTAAGAGTTAGGTGTAATGGGCATTAGTGAAGTGGAGATTGGGGGACAAGCCAAGATTTGATGAATATTTATAAAAAATGTGGCCAAAGGACTAAAGACAGACCCACATGTGCGTGCACACACACACACACACACACACACACACACACACACACACGTGCACTGCCGTCATCTCTGAGCCATGGAGACAGGGAGTGAGTTGGTCAATGTGAAAGTCATTCCTCCGGGGACATGGTTGGCTGACTCTTGTTTCACTGCCTGGCAGGATTTTGCACATTCCCACTGGCGGTTGTGAAGTGTGGAATCTGTTATAATCTGTTTGCTAATCCAGGGGATCTCCAGGGAGAGTTTGAAGCTGTGTGGGCTTTTTGAGGAATGTGTTACTGGTCTAGCTTCTATTTTCCATGTAAAATGCTATATCATTTGCTTCAGTTCCAGTTAAATTTTTTTTTTTAAGCCTTTGGGCTTGGAGCACCAGCTTTATCATGGTTTTCAGCGTGCAAGTAGCAAAGATAGGAAATCTTTGACTCAACTGCTGACTAATTTGTGCTGTAGGGATCAAGTTCATATGTGGGAGTCAGAGAAGAAAGTGGCTTCTCAGGACAGAGCTGGAAATGTTGGCACATCATGGAGGCACCAAGCTCTCCCTCACTGTTGTCATTCCCAAGCATTCCTTTACCCATGTGGACCATGCTCATTTCATAGACCAAATATATGAATGTATGTACAAATCCAAAAATCTTAAACCTGAACAAAACAATGAATGCCACCCATTCTGGAACCCTTTACCGCTACTGTCTTCCTCTTAGAAGGTAATACCTCTGACAGAGTTGAACTATTTGCAGTGTTAGTTAGATGTGCACAGAACATACAACATCCTTATTTTCTGTGATCAAGCTAATCAATTTCAAAAGTCCCCTCTCCCCTAGAAAGCCAGGTAGGGTTGAGGAAAGGAAGGGGGTAAGTAGCACTTACATTTGTTAACATCTCATTTCTTCTGGTTTACAGTGTCTTTGAGCTAATTCAGCCTCTGTGGGGTAAATGCCCACCATTCCAGGGTTGCTGCCTTTCCCCCCACTCCTCTTTAAGATGGTGTCTGGATATAGAGTCTTAGCAAGGGCTCGTGAATCCATGTGAGCAAGTCCTGTGTTGCCCTCTGCTCTTCTCTGGGCTGTCTGCTGTGGTCAGATCCCTGCGCTGCTATCTACTGCAGGACAGCTGGCTTTGCCTGGGCTTTGCCACATCCTACTGGCACCTGCTCCTGAAGTTCATGCCCCAGTGTTTGCCTGGTCCTAAAGTCTGCCTGTGAACAGAAGCCTCTTCATCTGAATCCCAGGCCTAGACCAGCTTCACATCCCTACAGCCACCTCCCTGCCCCACCCCCAACCTGAGACACACAGGAATTCTGGGTCCCTGTGTGCTGTACTCACCTGTATGGAGCTTACGTGAAGAGCTGCCCCACCCCACCCTCTGCCAGTGCAGAGTTAGGACTTTCGTATTGTGTTGGTGTTGGTGCTGAGTGGAACATGAGGCTGATTCTAGACTATAGGCTTATAATTTTCTCAGGCTGTGCCTGGTGAAATAGGCCACCAGTCCAGATGACCTTGGCTTATCAGACCCATCTACGTGTTTGTCCTGCTCCATCTAGAAAACTGACATCTGAGCTCTTTGCTCTATCTTACTTTCATAACCGCCCCCACCCCCAATATTTTACTTGCTAGAAGTGATGGGCTTTTTCCTATTTCTTGTCTAGTAGGGACTTCCTTCCTAGAAACACTGGAGTTTCATTTTGATATGTAAAAATAACTTAAGTCACCTTCCTCTCTCAAAACTGCCTGCTTCTTAAGACTATGGTCTTACCAAAAACTCAAAAGGAAGTTAGTTTGAGCCTCAGAGTTAAACATTGCCCTTAGTTTCAAATTGGCCTTAGTTCTTAACTCTGTGTGTGTGTGTGTGTGTGTGTGTGTGTGTGTGTGTGCGCGCGCGCGCGCATGCGATGAACCTATTTATCATCTGGTGAAGCCTGTGGACTGCTTCTGAAAATAATATTTGTAAATGCATAAGTAAGATACACAGGATTATAAAGGAACTCAAATATATTGAAACGATGTTATCAAAATGTTAAAGAAACCAATCTGTGACATAATAATATATGTGCTTTATTAACACAATAAATAAGAAGACCTAATAATTACATTAAGTTAGTAATAGTAACAATAGTACTTGATATTTCAAGGTATTTTCAACAACTGAAATGTAATATGAAAATAATGACTTTAATGGTGACAAAGTCACAAGCAATGATATTCCTGTAGCTTGTTGACCACAATCGTGATAGAAGGAAATTATAGATTTCAATAATAGATTAGTGAAAAATAAAGATGAAAATGTTATCCCATTTCAGTTCATACATTCCTACATTCTATCTCTGGACACCTTCGTCTAGATTTCTATTCTAGATGTTAGTATCTGCTCCCCCTGTGAAGGGATGGTTGTTGTTGGGTGGGGAACTACAAGGAACAATATTTATAAGATATGAGAATACAGCTGAAGATATTTCAGAAATGTTCTTTATTATACAATCTTCTGGGGAAAAATTAGTGATGCGTAAGGTTGAAGTGTGGTATAGTTCAACATTTTGTATTTTTCTCTTCTCCCCACATCATCCATTGCCCAGTTGTCCAGAGTGGTTAAATTATTTTGCCTGGTGTTTTCATATAAATTTTGCTTCTCAAATGTTGCTTTTGAGTAGGAATGTAAAAAGTATTTCTCAAAAACTAGAAATCTAGCTCTTCAAAGGGAATAATTGGAGAGAGGGAGTTAGATTCTTCCCCCAGAACTGATTAGGAGAACCTGTTATATTTAGCAACTTACCAGCAAATCCCATATTTGATTACCTGTTTTCATCAAAATGTTCAATGCTGGCAATGTTTATCAGGTACTGAAGTTATTGTGTTTGTTTGTTTGTTTGTTTAGCTCTGCCAGCTAAGCCTGAGAACATTTCTTGCATATTCTATTATAAGCAAAATTTTACTTGCACCTGGAGTCCAGAGGAAGAAGACAGTTATACGTGGTACAAAGTCAAGAGATTTTCGTAAGTACGGGAGCTTGTGTGCTGTCAGTGAGAGTAAGGGGATGAGGCAGAGCCTCCTGGTTAATTCATGATTCAAGTCACTAATTAAGTAGAATATTTTCTCAGTTGCAGCTTCTGGGTGACCACTATGTGCATCCAGTGGCTAGGGTGACATCTCGGATACTTGCAGCCATGCTGACAGGATCTGCAACTGCAGAGGGAGGGGAGGCATAGCTGCATGATAGCCTCCTTTTAGAGTTGCTGGGTTGGCTGATAGTCACTGGTTATAAGCACAGTGGAAAATCTGTTTATTTACTAGATTCAATGACATTCTTCCCCTCTGTAGATTGTGTTATAAAACTGTTCATTCTTCATGGATCCAGATATAGTAAGTAGGTTATAAACCCAGAACTAAGAGGCAGGCTTACCTTAGTCCTCCGCCATGAATTTCCTGTGGGACCTCTGTCAAACAATCATTTACCAGGGCAGTGATTTCCAAGTTTTTCACTACCTCTAGCATCCTTTTTTTATTCCATTTCTATTAGAAGAAAATTATGCAATATTTTTTATAATTCTTCCCAAAGCTAGATGTTTTAGTGTGTATGTACAGGGATTTTTTTGAAATTTTGGAAATAGCTCATGAAACCCATTACATCCTTCATGCTTTTCTAGGAATAGGGAGGCCCATGCTGGGAACTGTTGAAAGATGATCTTTTAAGTCTTTTCCATTTCAAAAAGAGAGTCTGTAGTTCCAAGTTATTTTTGTTTGTTTGTTTTGTTTTTTAAATATAAGATCTCATGTATACTCCTTTCTTTTTTTTTACTTCTTGAAATTGGTAACTGGTGTTGTAAGAGAAATTCACTTCATGTTTTACAGTAGAAGAAAGGGAAAAAAAGCACACAGTTTTCCTTGCAGCACTTATATATCAATGAGTATCACAGAGAAAGGTGATTTAAAACAGGGGTGAACAGGGCCAGCCAAGTGGTGTGTTGGTTAAGAACTGGCTTGGGATGCCAGAGGGCCCCGGTTCGGATCCCACATATGAGGGCCAGTGACACTGCCCTCTACAGCTAAGATGCTGAACAACAGCTCAACCTGGAGTTGGGTTGCAGTGAGTTGCTGGCGACAGTAGGCTGCAGCCCCTGTGGCAGTGGATTGCCATGGGCTATCATGTGGAGCCAGCAGCCAGCGTGAGCAGCCAGCAGCCTCCGTGAGCGGCTGTCCAGAAGCCGGCGACTGATCTGCCTCACCCGGGAAGAGCGCAATGATGGTGCCAACTTGGGCCAGTGAAGCAACGTCCTCCACAACTAGACTGAAGAACAAAAGGACAGCAACTTGTCTGTTCCCCTTCCCCCAATTCCCCAGCACTGTTCCCATCCCCCAATTCCCCCCAAAAAAATCTTTAAAAAATAAATAAATAAATAAAATAAATAAAACAGGGGTGAACAAACTTTTTCTGAAAGGGCCAAACAGTAAAAATTTTAGGCTTAAAGGGAGCTGAGTCTCTGTCAGGCTACTGCCATAGCAGGAAAGCTGCCATGGACAATGTGTAAACCAATGGACCTGTTTTCCCATAAAACCTTATTTATAGACACTGAAATTTGAATTTCCTATAATTTTCACATGCCATAAAGTATTCCTTTTAAATATTTTTTCTTAAACATTTTACAAGATAAAACCTGTTCTTAGCCTGTGCGCCATACATGAACAGAGCGTGGGCTATATTTGACCTACAGGCTATCGTTTACTGACCTTCACTTTTGAAAATAAGAATGACAAAGGCCCAATAATCCTTGGTCTGTATGACTTCTCTTCTCCCATGCTTCGTAGTTCTAGGCCCAATGTTCTGAACAGGAAGTGTCAGCAGATTGCAAATCTGGAAACCTCAATAGGTTTACTTCTATTTTTCCATTTTTAAGAGGCATCCCTGCCCCATTCGATGGCTCTCTATGGATTGTCGTTATTATCAGCAGCCGGTCACGCAGAGTTAGGAAACCCTTAGGTACCCTCAGGCCTATGTAAAGCCACTCTTGATGGCTTCAGGCCTGCTAGGCTCTGCTGGATGACCACACTGGCTTGCGTTTTTGTGAGTTTATTACCAAGAATATCTCTTTCAAGCAGAATGGAAGGATTTCCTTGTGGACAGTTAATTCTGAGAGCAGATGACGGTGGGTCAGCTGTATGAACAAAAAACCCTCTGATACCCAGACACAATAGGGATTGATTTTTTTTCTTGGGGAAGAAAAAGAGGACTTGGGATGTCTTCATGGAGGTAGTGGTTTCTGAGCTGAGACTCTAGAGATGTAGAAAAGGGAAGAAAGGGTATTCTCAAAATTTACAGCATGAATGAATGCAAAAAAGTTCAACTATAGTAGTAATATAAATACCAATAATATGTAATAACATCTCACATTTAGACTATATGTTCCTGACATTTAAAAGTACTTTATGTGTGTGAGCTCATTTTATCCTCACAAGAACCCTATGCGAATGGTATATTACTATTCTCATTTTAGAGATGAGAAAACTGAGGCACAGATAGGTTAAGAGTCTTGTCCAAGGCATGGGGTTAATAGGAGCAAATCCAGGATGTAATACTAGTTTGCATCCAGAGCCTGTGCTTGTAATCATGATACAACATTGCGCTGGAGGCCATTTTTGTACTTTTTAATAACCACAGAAGACCCTGGAGTTCCTTTTTACTTTCAAAATGCCATGATTCTATATATCCAAGCTCTGCTTCCTCGTCCCCGCCCCAGCAAACTTTGGCACTTTGTAACATGGGCCTCGTTTTCTGTTCTTAGCCTACTCCATCTCATGGGGACTATAATTTATCCACCCACCTGATTCCTACCAATAAGTTCACTTTCATTAAGTTACAGCTTGGTTGGATTTTAGTCAGCTATCTAGGGAAAAGTTGTTTTAATGAGTTTTCTGAAAACAATATATAGCAATGGTAAAAAAATCAATCTGAAAAATATGAAGGCTATAAAAAAATCACCCCAAATCCCACCACTAAAGGTAACAACTTCAACATTTTGATGAAGAACTTTCCAGACCTCTCTAAGAATAGTTACATAAATATATGTTTATATAAATATGATTATTCTGTACATAATATGCATCCTGTTCTTTTTCACCTGCAATAGAGTATAGGCATCTTTCTATATCAATAAATATAAATGTATTAAAGATAGTCATTTTAAATTCTATTTATGTATCTACCATAATTTATTTAACAAATCCTCTTTGATATTTTTTATCTTTTAAAAAGAATTTCTCAAGGCTAGAATCTGGGATTTTCAGGGGCCTATTCATTATTTGTTACCAATAGGAAATGGATTACAAGTGTAGCTTTTGATGGACTTACAGGGTTCCAAGGAGGTCTCCAGGGAGGTTCACAGCATCTCAAACAGGCAGGAAGCAGTTAACTTTTATCTTTTCGTGGAGGTGAGGAAGGATTTTGGAGCGGAGGGTACCAAATTCTGGACTATGCAGCTCTAAGAGAAACTCAGACTGAAACAAATACATGCTTAATACATTGAGTTTGGCTATGTTTTCAAACTGCTGTACTAAACTGATGTTGACTCATTTTTTTTTTCATAGCCACGAGGACCGAAAAAGTGATAGTTGTAGTTCTACAAGTGAAACTGGCGCTTCATGCTCTTTTCCTCGCACAATAAATATAGGGAATTATGACATTCAAGTGGAAGCTCGAAATGCAGACGGCATAATAGCATCTGATGTAACACATTGGAACTTAGATGATATAAGTAAGTGTTATTTTATATTCTTATGTACTCTTTAATTAAAAGATAATCCCCTGCACCTTTTTAAAAGAGATATATCTCTAGACCCAAAAGTAGACTCAAAGCTCAAGGATATAATAGGTGGATGTTATGGATAAACATAAAATTTGTCTTCTTATTTAGGAAGGAAAAGAGGGAGAAAGAGGGAGGGAGGAAGGAGTTGACCAAATATAAAAAAAAGATTAAGAGACATTTTGTTGGTCTCTGATTTCCTCTTGCAGTTTGTACCATAAATTGTACTCAAAGAAGAGGTTTCTCCCCTCAAAACAGCATTTTTCATGTAGGAGAAGAGAGTAGAACTATTATTTTAAAAAACGTCTCACAAATTTAATTCTTTTTCAAAAACTCATTTTCACATGTAATTTTTAAGTAACAGCTTCAGTGAGATATAATTCACATGCCATAAAGTTCACCTTTTACAAATGACAATTCAGTTTTCTATCATATTTACAAAGTTGTGCAAACATCACCAATATCTAATTCCAGAACATTTTCATCACCAACAAAAGGAACTTCATACCCACTTACAGTCAGTTCCCAATCCCTAATTTCCCCTTTTCCCCAACCTCTGGCAATCACGAATCTATTTTCTGTCTTTATGGATTTACCTGTTTTTGACATTTTATATAAATGTAACAACACAATATGTGGCCTTTGTATCTGTTTTTTTTCACTTAGCATAATATTTTCAAGGTTCATCTATATTGTAGAACTTATAAGTACTTTATTCCTTTTTATAGTTGAATAATATTTCACTTTAGGGATATCACACATTTTGTTTATCCATACATCAGTTGATGAAAATTTGAGTTGCTTTTTCTTTTGGTTATTATAAATACTGCTGTTATGAATATTTGTGTAAAGGTTTTTGTGTGGACATATGTTTTAATTCTCTTAGATATATGCCTAGTGACATTGTTGGGTCATATGATAACTCTAGCTTTTTGAAGAACTGTCATACTTGACCCAAGTGGCTACACCATTTTATATTTCCACCAGCAATTTAGAAAGGTTCCAGCTTCTCCATATCCTTGCCAACACTAGTTATTGTCTACCTTTATGATTATATCCTTCCTAGTTGGTGTGAAGAGGTGTCTTATTGTGATTCTGATTTGCATGTACCTAATGACTACTGATGAGCATCTTTTCATGTGCTAATTGGCCATTTGTGTATCTTCTGTGGAGACATGTTTATCCAAATCCTTTGCCCATTTTTAAACTGTGTGTGTGTTTTAATTGTTGAGTATTAAGAGTTCTTTAAAAATTCTGGGTACAAGTTCCTTATTAAATATATATTTTACAAATATTTTCTCCCTTTCTGTGGATTGTCTTTTTAATTTCTTGATGGGTTCCTTTGAAATAGAAAAAAAATTAATTTTATCTCTCCTTTCCTTTATTATTTGTGCTTTGTTTCAGATCTAAAAAAATTGCCTAACCTGAGGTCATAAAAATTTACTGCTATATTTTGTTCTAAGAGTTTTATCAATTTATCTCTTACATTTAGTTCTTTGATCCTTTTTGAGTTAATTTTTGTATGTGGTGTAATGTAGGAGTCAAACTTCATTTTTTTTGCATAGGGCTATCCAGTTGTCCCAGTACCATTTGTTGAAAAGATGATTCTTTTCCCAATTGAAGTGTCTTAGCACACTTGTCAAAATCAGTTCACCATAAATGTAAGATTTTCCCTCCCTGTGCTCTCAATTCTATTCTATTGATATGTATTTCTATTTTTGTGCCATTATCACACTATCTTGATTATTGTAGATTTATAATAAGTTTTGCAATTGAGAAAGTGAGTCCTCCAATTTTGTTCTTTTTCAAGATTATTTTGGCCATTGCATCCCTTGCTTTTCCATATGAATTTTAGGATCAGCTGGTCAATGACTGCAGAGAAGCCCACTGGAATATTGATAGGGATATTGCTATCAATAATATAAAATCTTGCAATCCATGAACATGGGCTCTCTCTCCACTTATTTAGGCCTTTTTAAATTTCTTTCAATAATATTTTGTAGTTTTCAGTGTACAGGCCTTGCACTTCTTTGGTTAAATTTGTTCTCAAGTATTTTATTATTTTCGATGCTCTTATAAATGGAATTGCTTTCTTAGTTTTGTACTCAAATTGTTCGTTATCAGAATCTACAAATACAATTGATTTTTGTATATTGATCTTGGAACCTGCAGCCTTGTTGAACTTGTATATTGGATCTAATAGGTTTTTTTTTATGTGTGTGTGTGTGTGTGTGTGTGTGTGTGTGTGTTCCTTAGAGTTTTGTTTTTTTTTAATATCCAGGATCATGTCATCTGAAAATATAGTTTTACTTCATTCTTTCCAACCTGGGCACCTTTTATGTATCTTTCTTGTCTGATTGCTCTGTTTAGAACCTCCTGTATAATGCTGAATAGAAGTAGTGAGAGCAGACATCCTTTTCTTGCTCCTGATCTTAGAGGGAAAGCATCTAGACATTCACCATTAAGTATGATGTTAGCTGAAGGTTTTTATAGGTGCCCCGTATAAGGTTGAGGAAATTCTCTTCTAGTCATAATTTATTGAATGTTTTTATCATGAATAGGTGTTGGATTTTGTCAAATATCTATTCTGTTTCTATTGAGATAACCATGTGTTTTTGTCCTTTATTTTATTAAAAGGATGTACTACATTGACTGATTTTTTTTTTAAAGATTTTTTTTTATTGGGGGAATTGAGGGAATGGGAACAGTGCTGGGGAATTGGGGGAAGGGGAACAGACAAGTTGCTGTCGTCTCGCTCTTCAATCTAGTTGTGGAGGATGTCGCCTCACTGGCCCAAGTTGGCACCATCATTGCGCTCTTCTCTGGCGAGGCAGATCAGTCGCCGGCTTCTGGACGGCCGCTCACTGCGGCTGCTGGCCGCTCA